CCTAGGGTCACCCCCCCGCTCCAGGGCTGACCCCAAATCAGCCCCCAGGGTCCCTTCCCTCGCCTTGCCCCACTCACCTACCCTGGCACTGACCCCCAAATTGGCCCCCAGGGTCACTCCCCAACCCTGTGCCACTCACCCACCCTAAAGATGACCCACCCCGGCCCCCACATCAGCCCCCAAAATCTCTCCCCCTGCCATCACCTTTGCCCTCCCTCAGGCTTCATACCTGGTTAAAGAAGAGACCCTGTGTTGTCATTTGGAAGCCCCAAACACACCCGAATCCAGCTGCACTTCCCTGGAGCTATTTAAAGGTATAAACCTGAGGGAAGAGCTTAAAACCAGGTCCTCTTGCACGTGGAGTTTAAATATTTGAACCAAGCTTGGAGATACCTCATTAGGGGCAAAACCCAAACTGTTTCGAGTACCTGATCCTAAATATTTACACAAACGTAGTGGTTATAATAGTGAGTGGTACGAGCTGCTCCCTCCAGGCCCAGACCTATCTTTGCCAGCCTGGGCTCTGCCTGCCTGGCTGCTCTTTGCTCCTGCCACACGACAGCAAGCAGAAATTTTGGCTCCTCTCCCCTTCCAAGGCCTCAACTGTGATCTCTTATTCCTGGTTTCAAAGTTCTCCTTCCTTCTCATGGATGGAAAACTTAAAGGGGAAAAAAAAAAAAAATCAACCAAACCCTCAAGCTGCAGCTTTCTGTGGCAAATCTCCTAAACTGTGTCTGTCTGCTCCAGGTTCCCAGCACATCTCCCAGGGATCCATGCCCTGTCCAAACCAAACTGGGCTCCAGGATGATGCTGAACTAAGCAGACATGGCAATTAAAGCCTGTTTTACAAACAACTGCCCTTCTCTGTGGTTCAGACAGACTCAGATTAGACTGATGAAGGCAGCACCCACCTTCGGGTGCCCCAGGCAAGGGACCCGCTCCAGTGGCAGAGCAGCCACCAGGTGTGGCACAGGCACGTTTCTTCCTCATACACTGACACAAAGCTTTGCTGCTCCTCTGCAGTCTGTAAGTGGGAGGATAAAGCTGCCAGCCGCTGGCTCAGTGTGTGGATTCCTGCTGCAGGGCAGAGGGAGAGGAAGATCACGCAAACCCACAGCGCTGCATCGAGCAGGGCCTTGGTGAGAGCCTTTCTGTGGGGCTGAGCTGCCTTGGGTGTCTCAGGGATAAATCCACTGAGGGTCACCAGCTCCAAACACTCACCCCATGCAGAGACCATCCCCATGCCACCTGCCCCTGCAGCCTGTAAGGGCTGGTAATCCAATAATGTGACTTTTGGGGATTTGGAGGCCAGATCCCCATCCTGCTGCACTCCTGCCCAAATAACCACCCATGCAAGGTAACGTCAGGAGCATCTCATCCTCACACCAAAGGGGTCTATCCAAATCCCCACATACCTTGTCCAAACAGGAGCTGGGTTTGTGGGGCTTCTTCTGGGCTGCTGAAGGTGAAAGGGGCTCTGTATCCTACACTGGCAATGTCACAGGGCTGTGGGTGTCCCCAGAGCTCCCAGCACTGCTGGCAGGCTCAGCTCTGAACGTCCATGAAGAGAACTGGGAAGCTGTGGAGTGGGTTACTTACAGCAGTAATTGATGCATTAAATATTTCTCTTCTCCACGGGAACAAAGCAAAGCACCCTGGGGGCCACATGAAGAGTCCTTGGAGAGCTGATTGCACTGGCCAGTCCCAAGACTTCCATCTGTGAAGGCTCTGAAGGAACAAAATAGGCAATTTTTGCAGAAAAAGAAGACAAAACGTGACAAAAATCTGTTCTCGCTGCAGTGAATCAGCCTGAGCCCCCAGCTCTGGGGAGAAATGCAGTTTCCCCTGCAAACCTGGGCTCACCTCGGGTGCTTTGGTGCAAGGATTCAGCTGCATGCTGGACACATTTGCAGCCAGAGAGGAACCCCCATTCCTTAAAAAAACACTCCTGTAGCCCTTGGGGTTGAACAAGCCCTCTCCCAGAGACTGCCACAGGGGGAAGCAAGAAGGAAAACCCCCCAGATTTTGAGTGTCCAGCTCCCTCTGGGGCACCCAGCCCCGGCCCGGGGTGTAAATCACTAACAGGTATTTACCCTGCATATAAATCACTAACAGATATTTACCCTGCATACTGGGGCAAAGCGCCCCCGGCCCGAGCCCCTGTGGCCAGCAGGGCCCGGGGTCCCCTCCCCAGGCTGGGGGCGCGATGCGCCGGGCCGGGCGGGAGCGGCCGCCCCGGAGCCGCCCCGGGGCCCCCCCGCTCCGGCAGCGCAGGGAGAGCGCTGGATCCGCACGGCCGGAGCCGCACCGAGCGACCGCGGGCTCCCACCGACGCCGGAGGAGGTGAAGGGATCCCGGCTCCCCCCTGCATCCCCCCGCGCCGGCTCTCCTTGCACCCCTTTCCCGGGCATCTCCCGTGCACTCTCCGTGCGCGCCTTTGCCCGTTCGCCCCTTCCCTGCGCGTCCGCGGTGCGCTCCTCGCTGACCTCTCGGTCCACCCTCTGCTCCTTTGCATCCGTTCTGTGCTCCCCACTGCACTCTGCCTGCACCCCCTTTCCCTGTGCATCCCTGCTGCACTCCCCAGCGAGCTCTCCCTGCACCCCTTCCCCGTGAAATCCCTGCCGACCTCTCCCCTTTCCCTTTGCATCCCTGCTGCACTCCCCACTGCACTCCCTGCACCCCCTTTGCCCCCATATCCCCTCTGCACTCCCCAGAGTGCTCTCTGTGCACCCCTTTTCCCGTGCAATTCCTGATCCACCCCTCACTGGCCTCTCCCTGGACCCTTTTCCCCTGCCCTCCTGCACCCTCCGTGCCTGCCGGTGCCTTCTCCACACACTCTCGCCCCATCCATCCCCTCTCCGCGCGCTCCCGGCCATGAACAGCTCCGTGGCAGGCTCCGAGGGGGGCTGGCATCCCGAATCCGTGATCATCCCCCTGGTGTACCTCGTCATCTTCCTCGTGGGCACGGTGGGCAACAGCCTGGTCCTGGCCGTGCTGCTGCGCAACGGGCAGGTGAAGAACACCACCAACCTCTTCATCCTCAACCTGGGGGTGGCCGACCTCTGCTTCATCCTCTTCTGCGTCCCCTTCCAAGCCACCATCTACACCCTGGAGGGGTGGGTGTTTGGGCCCTTCATGTGCAAGGCTGTCCACTTCTTCATCTACCTCACCATGTACGCCAGCAGCTTCACCCTGGCCACTGTCTCCCTTGACAGGTAGGAAAAAGGGAATGGGGGGGGGCTCCCTGCTCCCTGAGGGTCCCCTTTCTCTAGATCCACCCTAGGCAGAGAGGGGACAGAATCCCCTGGAGTTAAACCCTGATTGCTGCCATCTCCCAGGGCTCCCAGGAGAATCCAGGAGCATTTCCCAGTTGAAATGAAACCAGCAAGGATGGGATCTAGCAGAGGGTTGAACTGGGACCCCTGTCCCCAGTGCCCAGCTGGAGGAAGCTTTCAGACCCCAGAGCTGTAGGACTGGGCTCTGGCAATTGAAGTGGGAATGGAAAACCAGAGAAAAGCAAAGCTCAGCCCCTGTGCAATCGTGGCTCTTCCTGGAATGCATGGAGAGACCCTCCCAACAGAGCTGGGCAAAGCAGGAAAACCTCGAGGAGGAAAAGCTGAGACACTCATTTTCCCAGCTTCCCTTTTTGTCCCAGTGCTGTCCCCTTGTTCCAGCAGTTGTCCCAGCCTTTTCCAGGGTAGTTTTTAGCCAGGAAGGCTGTTATTCCTGCCTGAGCTTTACCTCATGCTCACTCAGCCCCTGACTCTGCAAGGGCCGATGAGTTATGAACCTGCAGTGAGTGAGAGGCAGGAGCTCCTGGCGCTGCTTTGCTCTGTGCCTGAAACCTGCAAGACTGGATGTGGAAAGTCCATATGCAAGTCCCCTGGGAAGAGCCATAGCAGCCCCTGGACGTGTCCTGCCATCCCAGCAGGTGCTGGGACAGCATCCCCAGGAGCTAAAACACAGCCAGGAATGCTGTGTCTGGGGATCCTGGGGACTTGCTCCTGCCTTCCTATCCACACTGCTGCTATCATTTGTGCTCTGCCAGTCAGAGTGATGATCAAGAGAGGATCTGCTGGGTTAGGGAGAGGGACAGAAGGGGACCATAGCCCTTGTCCCCACAATTACTGCTGGGAGCAGAGAGGGTGATGGGACAGAGTTGGGCGAGGACCTTCCTCACTCCGTGCTGTGCGGGGACCCTTAGAAGCACCAGGGAATCAGTTGTGTAACTGATTGCCCTGGAAAACTCAAACCCATCCCTTGTGCCCTTCCTCCAATCTGCTCCTGGAGATGCTCTCTCTGTGCCCTCCCCAGGACTGCAGCTGTGTCCCTCTCCCTTTCCCACACAGGTATTTGGCCATACGATACCCCCTGCACTCGAGGGAGCTGAGGACACCCCGGAACGCCCTCATGGCCATCGGCATCATCTGGGGGCTTTCCTTCATCTTCTCGGGCCCTTACCTCAGCTACTACCAGGAATTCCAGCTGGCCAACCTGACCGTGTGCCACCCCATCTGGGAGATCTCCCAGCGCAAGGTCATGGACATCTGCACCTTCGTCTTCAGCTACATCATCCCGGTGCTGATCCTGAGCCTCACGTACGTGCGGACTATTCGCTACCTGTGGAAGTCCGTGGACCCTCTCCAAGACATGTCCGAGTCCAAGAAGGCCAAGCGGAAGGTCACCAGGATGATCATCATTGTGGCTGTGCTGTTCTGCCTCTGTTGGCTGCCCCACCACCTGGTCATCCTCTGCGTCTGGTTCGGGTACTTCCCCCTCAACCACTCCACGTACGTGCTGCGCATCCTGTCGCACGTCATCTCCTACGCCAACTCCTGCGTCAACCCCATCGTCTACGCCCTGGTCTCCAAACACTTCCGCAAGGGCTTCAAGAAGATCTTCAGCTGCCTCCTGCACAAGAAGGCAGCCCACAGGGTGCACGTGGCCCAGGTGACCAACACCGTCAGCACGCTGGAGGCAGAGCTCAGCGAGGTGACCCAGCTCAGCGAGGCCCTGCCCGGGCGCTCTGCCGCGCGCTGCAGGGTCCCAGCCCAGCCCTGGGGGGAGGTGGAGCTGGTGGGACAGCAGCGGAAGGCAGATGGCTCCTTCGTCACCTTCAGTGTCAGCTAGCAGAGATTCTCCCCACCCCATGGCTTTGCGGGCTCCTGCAGCATCGCAGGCCTGGGGACGGGCCATGTTTTGGGTTGAAATGTGTCCAGTCGTACCCTTTCCACTCAACTGCACCCAGATGTCATAACAGTGATGCTGCTGGTACAGACTCAGCCAAGCAGCTGTCTGAGGATCCAAGGGCAGGATTTGCTTCCACCAAGCACTTGCTGAGAGCTGAGAGATCAAACCCCCCAAATCCACTCTGGTGTAATCACCTGTTCCTCTGCCATGGACGGACTTTTGCCCTGTTGCATCTACACCGGGAGCTTGTTGAAAGCTCTGGTCCCTCCAAACAACACAGCATCTGGCTGGAGTTTGTGGGGTGCTCTCTTAGGGACATTTGGGAAGTCTTGGTTTGTTTGTGTCCTGGTACAGGAGATGCATCCCAGGGCAGCGCTGGGCACAGCCCTGTGGGCACAAACCCAGCTCAGGTAGGAAAATCCAGGAGAGAAGCACAAAAGGTCACTGAGGACCAGGAGGGAGGGAGGCTGTTTGCTGGGGGAGCACAGCCATGGCCCTGCAGGAGGGGAATCTGAGTGGGACAGGACCACACTGGGGGAGGATTTGAATGCCTTGGACAGCTCGGGCATCTCATCCAAGCGAGGTGCTTGTGGAGAAGAGCAAAGCAGAGCAGTGGCACCACTTCCCTGTGTGGGAAGCCAGTGTGGGACTGGACAGCCAGGGCTGTGTGAGAGCTGGGGGTCCCCAGCCAGTCAGGAAAGCCTTAATAAAGCCTCTTCATCTCACCTCCTGTGTTCAGCTCCCTTGAGACACCCCACAGCCGTAGTGGAGGAGAGGAGGGTGCTGGAGGGGTGATGGAACCTGCTGGATGGAGGGAAGCTGAGGGTGGAGGGGGTGGAGGATGTGGATTATGTCCGAGCACATCCATGGAGGGGGAGGTCACAGGAATGTCACTGCACCCTCTTTACGCAGCTATACCTGCCCCTGAGAGGATGGTGTGACTCACACACTCGTTACATGCAAAAGTTCCGTGAGAGCAGAGCCCTCGGACCACCAGCAGAGCCTTAAATGAAAGCCCTCATTTCTGTACCACAAGAGCATCACTGGAATAGGATCAATTAACTCTTTTGAAAACCCCGGGGCAGAGCACAGCCTGAGGTGGCAGTGAAAGTGCACAGGAGCTGGGATGAGCTGTCTGCCCAGATTTCCCTCTTGTGAATCCCTAAGGCAGAACTCCCCAGGACTGGGCTGCACTGCAGGAGGCTGTTTCTATCCTGGACCCTGGTTCTCCCTGGGTGTCTGCTCAGGACACTGCCCTCCTCCACCCCTCCCCAGTGCTTGGCCTTTCTTCCTGAGAAGCTTTTGGCTGTAAAGAATTTCTTTTCCCCTGATGAGTGTTATTATAACCAGATCTTCCTGCCCTAATGTAGAGGGCCATAAATCGGCCACTGCCTCATATCAATAACTGTGATATTTAGTCTGGGCCTGCTTGCAGCATAAGTCACAGAGAGCAGCATATAAACAGCTCCATTAATTACATCTGGATTTATCTCCTTGCTCAACCCTTTGCAGCCAGGGAAAACATTGGATCAGCTGCACAAACACAGCTAAAACCTTATCTTCCTCCTGCCCTCATCTACCTCTGCTCAAGAGGGCTGCAGCATCTGGCTCTGATGGATCCCACACACAGCAAGGGGTTCCATCCCCTCTCCTGGGGATGGAGATGTTTACCCATCACCTCTGCACTGCTCAAGGACACGGGTCCCTGTGCTGGCACGGCTGTCCCCTGTCTGCTCATGAGAGCAGAGCGTCCCAGAGCTCTGACATCCCAGGGGGTCTCCCAGCCTGGGGGTTGCACCTCCTTGCTGCCTCCAGCACCCCTGAACCCCTCTGACACGCACCATGGCTCACAGGGCTGCTCTCACCCTCTCTGGGAGCAGCAGCTGCTTTGGGATGATTAGACAGCAAGGTGGGGGTTTCCACGAGTCTCTGTGGTGTGACACATCCAACCCACCCTCCATGTTTTATGGATCCTCACCTCTCTCAATCAGTACTCACTCACCTGCAGGCAGCAAGAATGGAGGCTGGGCCAGCTGCAGGATCACTGCACCATTTACAGATTCTACAGAAACAGGGAAAAAAGCCCCCTCCAACTTATCTGCCACTGTCCCTGCTCATCAGAGGAGGAAACCATTGCCCTCTCACCCAGCCCATGCCTTGATGAGCCCTCCAAGGGCAACCACAAGGCTTTTCTGCCAACACAAAACCATGCTGGGAAGTGACTTTCCCCCACAAATAATGGAGCATATCAGGAAAAGATAAGAGTATTCCCATCTGCTGGTACTCAGCACCCTCCCAGCTGAGGGAGGCGTGCTCCTCATCTGTTCCCTTGGGAGGTCTCGTCTTAAATTAAGACCAATGCATGTCCTCACATTCCAGTTAAAATTTAATAAAAACATATTCAACTGGAAGTGGAAAATAAATAGGCTTAAGTCAGCTCTCAAGTCCAAGAGTGGGCAGGGACACGAGGGACACTTGAGCTGAAACCTCAGTTAATGTGAACTTTGCAGCACACGAATTTATCACTGGAGTTAAAGAAGTTGTTTTGGTTTGTGGTTTTGTTTTGAAACACTTACTCTGCCAAATTTGCTCCCCAGTATTAGGAGGCAGCAGGTGGGAGATCCTGGCACAGCCCCAGCCTGGGCCTCAGTGGAGCTAAAAAAAATAAACAACAGAGAAATGGGGCTCTGGCCCCAAAACCTTGGAAATCAGAGTCTGTGTCAGGCAGAACGGGAGGTGAGGGGAGAGCAATAAACCTTGCAGGAGCCTTGCAGAAAGTAGAGAGGAGGGCAGAGAGGATTCAGCCCCATCCGTGGCCCCTTCCCACGGTCTCAGCATCACTCAAGGCTCCACACAGCTCTTAGCGAGGATGTGAAGGGCTCAACTGTGAGAGGGTCAGGCTGTGCTGGCTGCCATGATCACTCTTAATTAACATGTTGCAAACACATTCCTTACCATAAAAAGCCAAGGAGCACACGGAGCTGTTCCCTGTGCTGTGCAGTGTTGGACAAAGTCAGCCTGGAGGGGGCCAGCGGCTCCTCCTGCTCCCATCCCAAGGGAGGGGTGGCTCAGCCCAAAACGTGCTGCTGCTCCCGAGGCAGGTCTAGCTGCTGCAGGGGCTGCTCAGCGAGGCCAAGAGCCCAACCAGCTCCCCATGTCCATTCCCTGCGCAGGGGAGAAGCAGGTGGTGAGGGAATGGTTAGAGACAAGGGTGAGTGGGAGGTTGGATTTAAGAAACAGCGACCGAGTGGCTCAGCTTTCCCTTTAACTCAGAGAAAATGAGGGTGTCTTGATTCCTACCTGGGATTAACATAAACTACCTCTTCCTGCTACCTCCTCCAGCTCCTCCTCACTGCATGGCAGCTGCCAAGCTCAGCTCTCAGTCCCCAGCTGCCTCCTACCCCCATTCCTTACTCCAGATGCAGCCAGGGCATCCCTGAGGTAGGAAACAACCCAACCAGCTGCTGGTGCTGGTAATGGAGAGCCCAGGAACGAGAGGGACAATTTGCATCCCATCTCTGACTGCATCTACCCACCAGCCCTGGTCTGTACAGTTTTCCTGGGGGAACAGGCTGACAGCAAGGCCCAGAAATGCCTCTTTTGGCATGGGTCATGCAGAGAGGCATTCCCAGAGTCTCTGGAGAACAGGATGTGGCCTCGTCCCAAACCCTTAAGGATTTAATGCATTTTTGGGGGGCTTTGGTTGGCATAAGAGCATCAGCATGGGGAGGATTCCAGCTCCTGCACACTAAAGCTCAGGTGCTCCAGAAATGCTGCAGGCAAAGCTCTCTCTTCCCTCCCCTGGCTTTGCCTGTGACCGTTCTGGGTGAATTGCCTTGCCCTGGGATCAGGGGCAATAAAACATGTTCTACAGCTCAGCCTGAATTCCACACACTCTCCTGGAGAAAGAAACTCACATCAGCCTGCTGCAGCAGCAGAAACACATCCAGAAAGATGGAATCCAGGTCCTTCTGGTGAATGTCAGGGTGTGTATCCAGCAGCCTGGACGCTGCACACAACACAAGCCAGCAGCACTTTGCTTATGCTTTCCGACACCGTCCGGCGCCTGCCAGCCTTTGGAGGCTCTTTGGAGCTGGCAGAGGTGAAAAACAGCGTGTGCTGAGGTCTCAGGTGTCCTCAGACATTGGAGATCTGAAAGCAGGAGGGAAGGCCCCTGCAGGGAGGGCTCTGGGGTCGGCACTGTGGGCCTGCACAGTCAGACACATAAAAACGGCCAGGTGGGGCGATCAACTCACACTGTGGTGCAGCTCTGGGCTGGACAAGCCTGTCCAATCTGCTGGTTTTCAGGCATTTGTTACACCAGGGAGTGTGTCAGACCAGGCTGAGGAGGAAGAGGAGGTCAGGGGTTTAGAAAAGCCAGAAGCTTCCTGAAAAACAAGAGGCTGGGTCTGCCACAGCGGGACCTGCACTAACATCCAACAGCTCTGCCACTGCTGGGCTAATCAGACACCACAAACACTCCAGTAAACACAGCTCAGGTGAATAATGGGTTTGCTCCAAACTGCAAAGCAGCAGCTATTGTGCATGCTCCATGCTCTATGGAAACCCTGTATTTCAAGTGTTCCAGGCAAACAGTGGAGCAGCAGCAGGAGAGAAGGAGGTGGGAGCAGGAGGTGCTGCCTGGCCAGAGACCACAGACACAACACAGGTGGTGTTCCTCGGAAAGGCTTTGGTGCAAAGCTGTCAAGAGTCCAGCTCCTGTATCTAAGCCTGCCAGGATTGCTCCAAGGCATGTGGGAGAGCACTTGCTTCACACATGATGCCCGTGGGCTGAACAGGGGGAACAGGCTTGGATGCTTGCAGGGAAGGGATTTAAGATCCCTTCAGCATCAGATTTAAGAAGACAGGAGACAAAGGAAAGAGAGGGATGCGAGGAAGATGCTGAGTAGAAATCTGTACGGACACTTCTGCATATGCTCTGCCTCAGGTCGAGGGGCAGCACTCAGCCAGGCCACCATGGAGCTCCCTGTGGTTTCCCACTGCTCTGCCAGGAGTCCAGACTGCCTTCACCCTGTCTGCCACTGCCTTGTGAAGGACTGAGCACTGATATGGGGATTGCTTGTCAAATTTTGGGTAAAACATCCTGGTGCATGACTAGACTGCACCCCCACGGCCAGACACCACCACACCCCAGAACCAGCATCGTGCCCCATCACTGAGCTAAATAACAGTCAAGAGTAACAATGTGAAAATCCTTTGGGATCCTACAGAACTGAGATTCCCAAAACCCATCAGGGAAGCAGGTGGCACCATGTGGAGCCCTCAGCCTCCTGCCCCAAACAGAAGGGCTGGATCCACAAGGTTGGGGGGGGGTTGTGTGTGTTTCTCTTTTAAACACACTCCCCATATCTCCTGCAAATCAAGGCATTAACACAAACCCAGGTGAGAAGATGCCCAAATGTAAGAGCCCACATGGCAGACTTTGCCTTATCCCGTGGATCCAGAGCAAAGACAGCCAGGAAGGAGTGTTTCCACAGGTTTATAAATCTGATAAATACAAGTGTAACACCCTGCCCACCACAATGGGGCAGGGGAGAAGGGAAGGGAGTCCCAAGGGTTGCTGAGAGAGCATTGGCTTGTACTTGGCAGCTGGAGAGTTCAT